CAATCATAGACATCGCAATACCAGGTAATAGCAGGGTTGCCGAAAAGGAACATGAAAAAATTGCAAAATACCAGGACTTAAAAATTGAAATTCTATTTCAATAGAAATTCTATTTCTATGGCACAAACCAGCAGTGGTAATTCCAGTGGTAATTGGCACACTGGGTGCTACTCCAAAAGCACTGGAATTACATTTAAAACAGTTAAAAATTGACAACATCACCATCAGTCAAATGCAAAAAGCCACACTGCTTGGATCTGCACGCATATTACGGAAATACGTTACGACGTCCTAGATCCCTGGGTGGGGCCCGACTAGTAACCAATGCCAAATCCGGTGAAACAACTGGCCGCTTGATACAATTGTATAATAATAATACAGAGATAGTGGATTTGTTTACATCTTGATTGGTTCACCCCAAGAAGTCATAGGTTTATATCAGGGCATTAATCAAGTGGCAATTTGATTTTCAGTCCCTTCCTAATTATTCCTATCATAGAATTGATGTGCGTTTTACAGAATTAACAACCACTGGTGCTTAGAAAACTGAGTGTGTGCTGACAAGGAGGGAAAGTTAAATATATGGCAATTTTTGAAGTTCAGCCATGTGCTAACCATTAATAGTAACAATCCTAATAAATAATAATCTAATAAAACTGATTTTCTATCACTCTGACATAGACTCCCTATCTCCTTATTCATTTATATTAAAGCCAGTCAAATCTTTGGCAGAAAAACAAATGATTTCTAGGCATTTTTTTGTTACATGCAGGAAGGTTTTTTTTTAAAGAATAATCTGCTACCAAAAATGAAACATCTGTTCTTTATTATCTCTCACTTGTCCTATTTGCAAAGGGATATTTCTCCACAGTGCACATTATCAGCATTCCTTGAGCCAGTCATGTTTTTGATAAGTGACATCTTTACAATAATTGCAATAATGGTTCCCCAATTAATTTACCCTGCCAGGCTGATGCATGACAGAGGAACAATAGGGAGTACTTGTGTGTGAAATTGCACGCAAATTTGGAAGCGGCAAGCTGACAAAATCATTAAGGCTGCTGGGCTGGCTGGACCCGAGGCAACACACAACCAATGTTTGTGTTAGCTGCTGGAGTTCCATGCCAAGCTTGTTTTGTTGGTCCTGTTATTTAGGAACAGTCTTATTCTAATGCAAAACAAACAAGCAATGATTGTGATATGCATTTGCATTAGAGAGCTTACATTAACCGCACTGATCCAAGCAACTGTTATGTTGCCTAAATTGGTCTTGCAGCCAATCAGATGGGTTTCCTTGCCTACTAGCTGGTCAGATTTGATGATTAAATTTCAAAACACACACATACTCTTTCACATAAGAACACTGTACAAAAAGCTGTTGTAGCTGAGCACTAAGTGTATTCATTTAACAGACTAACAGAATAACAGAGTTGGAAGGGACCTTTGAGGTCTTCTAGTCCAATCCCCTGCTCAGGCAGGAATCCCTATATCAGGGATGTCAAATGCAATTTCATTCAGGGCTGCATCAGGGTTGTGTTTGACTTTGGGGAGCCGGGGTGGGCATGGCCAACTCGATGTGGTGGCCTGAGCGATCTGCCAGCGAAAATGAGCTCCAACGTTCCGTTTTCAGATACAATGGCCTCCTGCAACCTTCTGCCAGTGAAAATGGACCTCAAGAGGGCTGTGGGTGCCCCCCCCCCAAGCTCCATTTTCACTGGCAGAGGCACCGCAGGCCAGTCCTTCACTGTTTTCAGGGCACCGCCATGAGCCAAATCTAAGCATAGGCTGGATTCGGCCCATGGGCCTTGAGTTTGAAATCCTTGTCCTATATCATTTCAGACAAATGGTTGTCCAATCTCATCTTAAAAACAACCAGTGTTGGAGCACCCACAATTTCTGAAGGCAAGTCCTTCCATTGGTTGTTCTTACTGTCAGGAAATTTATCCTTAGTTCTAGGATGCTTCTCTCCTTGATTTAGTTTGCATCTATTGCTTCTTGTCCTGCCTTCAGGTGCTTTGAAAACTAGATTGACACGCCCTCTCTTCTTTGTGGCAGCCCCTCAAATATTGGAACAGCGTTATCATGTCTCTCCTAGTCCTTCTGTCCACTAGACTAGACAGACCCAGTTCCTGCAACCGTTCTTCATATGTTTCAGGCTCCAGCCCCCTAATCATCTTTGCTGGTCGTCTCTGAACCCTTTCCAGAGTTTCAGCATATTTTTTATGTTGCGGCAACCAAATCTGGATGCAATATTGCAGTACTAACCCTTCATGTGATCTTGGCTCATATTTAAGCACCAGCAGTCTACTGCAGTTGCCAATTTCATCAATGTATCAATTGATGAATTGTTTTACACATCCATCTCTCTCTCTCTCTCTCTCTCTCTCTCTCTCTCTCTCTCTCTCTCTCTTTGTGTGTGTGTGTGTGTGTTTGTGTGTGTGTGTGTTTTCCCACATGCAAGTGCAAGCACACAAACTGACATATTTTTTGCAATTCTTTGTCAGTGATTAACTGCTCCGGCTTTATTGGCATCTGAGGTGTCTGCAAAAAAGTTTAAATGCCCCCCCCCCGGCTCTTGGAATTGAAACCTGGGATTCTTTTTAATTGCATTTGGAGGATTTAAATCACAATATGTGGGTTCCATCTTGATGTTTACTAAACCCCAGGCAAATGCCCTGGTTCTACTCACAGAGATGCCTGGTTGGAAATTGTAACAGAGAAACTGGACTGATTCATCATCTCATCTCTTGATAAAAAAAAGAATATTACTCTAAATAGCTTTTGAACGAAAGAGAAAGTTAATAAAATCCTCAGGACAGGATTCTGTTGTTCCAGCACTTCATAGAGATTACATGGTCAAGGCAGAGTTGAAGTGAACAACTTTAATCTCACAATCCTCTCACCAGCCATCTGAAGCCCACACGTCTCCTGGTGCTTCCATGAAAATATAAGGAAAGCCTCAAGTGGGAACTCATAAAGCATAGACTCATAGGGCTGGAAAGGACCTCAGAGATCTTCTAGTCCAACCCCCTGCTCAAGGCAGGTATCATCCTGGTCAATGGTTGTCCAGTCTATTTTTGAAAATCTCCAGTGATAGAGCACCCACAACTCCAGGAGGCAAGCTGTTCCATTGATTAATTGTTCGCACTGTCAGACAATTTATCCTTAGTTTTGGGTTGGGTCTCTCTTTAATGATCTTCTACCCATTACACCTTCTCCTGCCCTCTAGTTCTTTGGAGAGCAAGTCAATCCCCTTTTCTCTGTAATAGCCCTTCAAGTATTGGAAGACAGTTAGCACGGTACCTTTAATCCTTTCTAGGCTCTTTCCAGAAGTAGCTCTACTGTCTCTACTGGATGGAATTCTGTCTTTGAGGAATAGTTGGATAATGTCTTTGCAGAAATCATCCATACAATCTGTCTAGATGCACATTTGGAGGAAAATTTTGAAAGGTCAGGAATGGAGTTGCTAATGTGAGCAACTTTCTATTTCCAAATCACTCAATTTCTTCTATTCCCATCACAGATGGTCCTTCAAATGTCCTTTTTGCTGTGACAGCATCATAGGCTATTAACTGGATGCTATTTTTGCCATGATCTGAATTTTGCTGTTGATCCAACCTGGTGCTAGAATAGCGATGGTAAGAGTGGCAATTGTGGTAGAAATAACGATAGAAGTAAATGACCTTATAGTACCAACCATTACAGTATCAACGTTGACTATTTGTTCTCGGTCCATAGGCCAACTCAATGGGTGGCCCTTCTTCTTCACCCTCTGTCTGGCCTTGCACCCCAAGAGAAGCGGAAGAAGCCAGAAACTTACCAAGGACAACAAGTTGGATGGTGAGATTTTTATAGAGACCATGCTTGGGGTTGCTCAAATACAGGGTGAAGTTCCCAGCATGCTTCGGTCTCACATCCCTGATGACGATTCTGTACCTCTCAGGATCTAAGTCATAGCAGTCATTGGCCTTGAGCAGCTGCCCATCTTTGTACCTATTTGGACCAAAAAAAACGAGAGTGAAAAACAGCCAAGACAAAGGAATAGAAGGCATCATGTTTCGGAGCTAATTTAATTTTTAAATTTTAATTTAGAGCTAGGACTCTCTGCCCAAGTGGAATGTTCCCTACCCACCCACGAATTGGACTCATCCCACAGTAAATTATCAGTACAGATAGTCCTTGACTTACAACCATTTGTTTAGTGACCGTGCAAACTTACAACAGGACTGAAAGAGTTACTTAAAACCATTTTTTCACCCTAATTACCATTGGCGCTTCCCCACCATCACGTGATCAAAATTTGGCTGCTTGGCAAATGACTCACATTTATTGGGGTCGCAGTGTCCTGGAGTCACATGACAGGCAAAGTCAATGAGGAAGACAATTTCACTTAACAACCATATTACTAACTTAACAAATGCAGCAATTCACTTAACAATTGTGGCAAGAAATTTTATAAAATAGAGCAAAACTCAGTTAACAACTGTCTTGCTTAGCAACAAAAGTTGGGGCTCAAATACAAAGCATTAAAGTTTGAATGTTCTATTGCGATATAAGAGAGTCGGATTGGTGTAGTAGTTAATGCACCAAGCTAGAAATCAGGAGACAGTGAGTTCTAGTCCTGCCTTAGGCACGAAAGCCAGCTGGGTGATTTTGGGCCAATTCCTCCCGCTCAGCCCAACCTACCTCACAAGGTTGCTGTTGTGGGAAAATAGGAGGAGGAAGTTGTGAGGATTGGCCACCCTGAGTTATTTGTAAAAATAATAAAGGCTGGAAACAAACAAACAAACATAAGTTTTAGCAAAAAGTCTGAGTGGCTTTGGTCCAATATATTAAGATGGTGTCTGTGATAGTCTCATAGATTTGCACCCTACATGTGACTCAGCTGCCAGCTTGTCTTCTTGGTTATGCACTATGGACATGCTTGAAGACATCGAAGAATTAGAGAACTGAAATCAGAGACTGAAATAAATCTATTAAGAGTTAAACCACCGTGTTATTTGCAGTGGGGGGATGAATAGGGAAGAGAAACATATTAAAGTTACAGCATAATCCATTTCTCTTCCTGCTCCTTTGGCAGGGATTGAAAACTGGGCTGGCAATTGAGGGGAAAAGAGGTTTTTAAAAACTGTTTTTCCATCCTTGGAGTTGAAGAGTTGGAGAGGGGGAGGCAATGATTAGTGTTAGTTGCAGGACTCGGGAGATGTCACCATTTTGTGGGTCTGCTACAGGCATGGAAGAGAGCTAGGGAATTTCTTCCTGAAAATCCTAAATCTGGTTCCTCAGTCACTTTCTCTGTTGGTTCTATCAAACTCAGAACTCTGTTTTTAGGGAGATAAGGCCTGGAGTTTGGATATAGAAAAACAGAGTTGGAAGGAACCTTGGAGATCTTCTAGTCTAGTCCAACCCCCTGCACAAGCAGGAGACTCTGTACCATTCCAGTCAAGTGGCTGTCCAGTCTCTTCTTAAGAGCCTTCAGTGATGGGGGCACCACAACTTCTGGAAGCAAACCATTCCATTGGTTGATTGTTCTGTCAGGTATTTTCTCCTTAGTTCTAGGTGGCTTCCCTCCTTGATTAGTTTCCTTTCATTGTTTTTTGTCTTGCCTTCTAGTGCTTTGGCAAAAGAAAAACCCTCTTCTTTGTGGCAGCCCCTTAAATATTGGAACAGTGGTATCATGTAGTCCTTCTTTTCACTAGACTAGCCATGGCCAATTCCTGTGACTGTTCTTCATATGTTTTAGTCTCCAGACCCCTAATCCTCTTGGTTGCTCTTCTCTGCACTCTTTCTAGTCTCTCAAATATCTTTTTTCTAATGTGATCACCAAAACTGGATGCAATACTCCAAGTGCAGCTTTACAAAGGCATGATAAAATGGCTTGGTTGCAGTTATTTCTTTATATCTCTGTGGTACTGATAGTCCTATGCTTATGACCCCAATTGGAACCAGGATTTTCTATGCTAAGAAAGGCGGTTGTTAAGAGAATCATGTGGTCATTAAACAAATCTGGCTTCCCCCAATGTCTGGCTGGGAAGGTGGCAAATGGCAATCACATAACCCTGAGATGCCACAACCATTGCAAATACATGCCAGTTGACAAGTGCACAAATTTTGATCACATGACTATGGGGACACCTGAGATGGTCATAAGTGTCAAAACTAGCCATAAGCTACTTTCTTCACTCCCACTGTAACTTTGAACCATTGTTATTGAACAATTGTAAGTTGAGGACTACCTGTACACAAAATGGCTAACAGATTGAATGAAAACCTACAGCCGTAAAAACGGACTATAGAACATTAGTTCCTGGAAACTGTTTTCTAAGTAGTGAAGAGTTCACATAGAAATGGCGCAGTCTGCCAAACAGATTTCTTCCACGATGCAGCCATGCACATTTCATGTGATGGAAAAGAAACTGCTTTTAAAATGTTTTGCAAAGGAGAACAACATTTTGTGAAATGGTTGAGATGAGTCATTGGGTCCTTGCACTGAACATAGTTCTAAGCAATCTAAGACAAAAGAGTTTCCATGCCTATCTTGTCTTTTACTGATTTATAGTCTGCAGGTTTATTGATTTATTTGTATCCCTATTCCATTCCAAGGGAAGAGGTCTTATGCAGGACACTCCTCCAGAAGAACCATCTTAGGTCAGGAAGCAAATGCAGCCAGAGAGAAAGGACTGTAAAAGAATAGCATGGGAACAAAAGGAAGGCAACAAATGACCTCGTGAACATCAGCCTCATGAAACAATAAAGTAAACTCAAGAAGAAACATGGAGTCCTCTGGCACCCAAATGTGTGAATGTGTGTCTTGTATTGGCAGGTACATTTTGTTATGAAGTTACCTACTGAACACCCTTGAGTTATTGCTTAAAGATTGGACCGAGAAAATGCAGGTTGAAACCTTTATTTAATTATTAGGTCTCAGGGCAACCTTCCTCATAGGTAACATTAGAGGAAATTATATACAAATTAGGAAGGGAGGGAGGGAGGGAGAGAGGAAGAAGGAGGAGGAGGAGGGGGAGGAACAATTGCAATTATACCACTTTCCCAAATATAATTTTGCTGCATCTTAGTCCTTACCAAGCCACATCAGGGGGAGGGAAAGCATCAACTTTCCAAGCCAGCTTCAGTACTTTTTGTCCTGCATTGGCCTCATAATACAAGTTTTGCCTCTTTTTGACAAAATTAATGAAAGCTTCTTCTTCAATAAATGAGAGAAAGAATAAGAGTTAATTGCTAGTTTACTTTCAAAAGCATCAGATTTTTTTTTCTGGACATCAAAATAACATGTGCAAAAGATAACAAATCAGAAAAAAAAACCAGGCAGATGTGAAATGGGAAAAAAACAAGAAACAGAGTGGCCACAGTTACAAATTTAAAGCATGTGGTATTTATTTTTCATATGTGTAGTGAAATTTTATTAATTTGACTCTGAGGTACAGTTTGATCTGCAGACAATTGTGAAGAAGATCCAATGTATGAAAGCAACAGGGACATTTTAGAAACACTCATTCTAAGTGAAAGCTGGTGAAGGCAATAATAATATGCAAGTGGTATCTTTTCTGGATAGTATTTCTTTTAACTCTTGAATTAATGGGATTTTTTTCATAGCACACAATCCATTTTTCCCTGTCCCACAATTGGGTAATTATTAAACTATATCAACAACGCACAGGAACAGATGGCCCATGACAAGGAAGGCTAGTTTCTCTTTGATTTCAGCTGTGAACAAGAGATTTTTCAAAGTGACAATACATTAGGACACGTTTCTGGAATTTCTTGAAGATACTACAAAAATGAAAAGATTTATCATTCCTTGGGTGATCAGGTAGTCCTCAACTTACAACAGTTCATTTTGTGACTGTTCAAAGTTACAACAGCACTGAAAAAAGTGACATGGTCATTTTCACATTTATGACCGTTGCAGCAATGTCACGTGATCAAAATTCAGACCCTTGGCAATTGATTCATATTTATGATGGTCGCAGTGTCCCAGGGTCACGTGATCACTTTTTATGACCTTTTGACAAGCAACGTCAATGGAGAAGCCAGATTTACTTAATAACCATGTTACTAACTTAACGTCAGTGCTTCATTTAACAATTGTAGCAAGAAAGGTCGTAAAAGGAAGCAAAACTCACTTGACAAAATGTCTCACTTAGCAACAGAAATTTTGGGCTCAACTGTGGTTGTAAGTCAAGGACCACCTGTACTTTCAAGAGATACATAGGCATAATTCTGGAATATTGTATGCTATTTTCCCTGGATGGATCCCAACTAGACGGGAGTCTGAAAACGAGGGTAGCTTGGTGATTCTAAACCACAGAGGAAGCAGTTCCACGAGAGTTACTCAGCCTTGGCAACTTTAACCTGTATGGACTTCAACTCCCAGAATTCTCCAGCCAGCTTGGTTGCTAAGGTTGAGAAACACTGATATAAGCAATGGAGAAGTTGGTGGAAAATTAAGCCACTTATTTTTATCCACCAATGCTGACAATACTGTATTTGTTTTTTAAAAAAACACCACTCAATGTCAAGCAAACAACTTCAGGATAAGTTCAGTGAGCCAGGGGAGTATGACATGCTGAGTCTGGTGCCTCTGGTGATGAATGAGTATTTTAAGTCATCCCTGAGTTGAAAGGATTGAGGAGGGAGCTATGTTGGTTCTGTGAGGGTCTTATCAGCAAGGAAGGGTCTTCTAAAATGAGAGTACCAGCAGCCTATCAATATATCAGCTGGCAGAAAAGTGGCATGTTCTGACTGCATCTCTTTTGACACCTTGGCTTTCCCATTTTTGTGGTCCTTCTTACTGAGTATTGTGACCGTAGTATTGACTTCTACACCTCCTTCGCCCATATTGAACACTTTGCATATGTAATGTCCTTTGTCTTCCATTGTGACATTTGTGATAGTCACATTACTAGAGCATTTGTACATGGAGACACTCTGGTCAAAATTCTTTCCTGCTCTTAGTTCCTGGAAGAGAACAAGAGAGAGGCATAGAAAAATTACCACCGAGTTCAGTTTAAAAGCCCTCAAATTAAAAACTATAAAGGGGAATATTGTGGTATCTTTTTCTAGATGTGTGTATGGTAGGATTGATGGGATCCTAATGAGCCTTTGGAAGCACAGTGGTCATGCAATGCAGTATTGCAGGCTGACTCTGCCAACTGCCAGCAGTTCGATCTTGATCGGCTCAAAGTTAACTCATCTGTCCATCCTTCTGAAGTTAGTAAAATGAGGACCCACATTGTTTGAGGCAGGATGCTGACTCTGTAAACCGCTTAGAGAGGGCTGTCAAGCAATATGAAGTGATATATAAGTCTAAGTGCTGGTGCTAAGAGTTTTAAAAGATGACTAGGGGTTCCCTTCTTTCTGTTTTAATGTTTAAAAGACAATATCATGAGGTATTTCCAGGAGTAATTTTCTTTTCTGGTTTCAAAAAGAGATCACAGACTTTAAAGTGTTGTGAACAAACTTTTGCAACCTTCTGACAAGCAAACTCAATGGAGAAGCTGGATTCACTTAACAATTGCAGTAATTCACTTAACAACTGGGGCAAGGGTGGTCCTAAACCCTTGGGCAACAAAGGGGCAAAACCCGCTTAAGAAATGTCTCAAATTTGTGACTCAATCGTGCTCATAAGTCAAGGGTTAAAGCTCCTTGATCAACCAAGGACAATTGGATGGTTATTTAAGAAAGCTAAGCAATGTTCAGCAGATCCTTTTCTGAAGAACTAAGGAAACAGATCTTCAGAAAAGAGAAACACGCTTGGAGCAGACCAAGGTCTTCCCTCAACTAAGAGACCCACTGGAACGACTCACCCTTTTTCCTGGAAATTTCCATAGAAACTGTAACCGTCCATTCCAGTACGTCTGCCCTTTGCATTCCAAGTTAAGGGTTTCTCCAACCAAGAGTTTTTTGGGAGTTGCTTTCACAACCACATCCCAAACTCGCACCTCTAAACAAAATAAAAAAGTCAGTGATCAAGCATCTCCTCCAGCAACATTGTTTTTATATGGGCAAACAGGAAAATCCATTTGTTTTCCATAACCGAAATCAGACCTAGTGCAGAATATATAAGCAGTCCTTGACTTACAATGGTTTATTTTGTATCATTTGAACTTACAGTGACATTGAAGTGACTTATGACCATTTTCATACTTTTGACCATTACAGCATCCCCATAGTCATGTGATTTGCATTCACATTCATATTTCTGTTGGTTGTAACTATTTAGCAACTGCAGTGATTCACTTAACAAATGTGATGAGAAAAATGGTAAAAGGAAGCAAAACTCACTTAACAAATGTGTTACCTAGTGACATCAATTTTGGGCTCAATTGTGGTCATAAGTCGAGGACTACTGGTAGTCCAGCAATGGAAAATTATGTCCAGAAAGGCAAAAGCATTCATCCACTCACCCACTTTCTGAGTCAAGTAATATGTCTCATATTGTGCCTCGTTGACTGTAGCAACACATTTGATCATTCTACTGAAGAACTCAATGGAGGGTGAAGTGATCGTGAATCCTTTCTTTGGGTCCCATTCCTTCCTCTCATAGGTGAGAGGCTCAGGAGATTGATGCTAAAGAAGAAAAAGCAAATACAAAGATAATACCTTTTGTCTGAGATAAAGCTACTGACAAGACTGACTCCCATTTTCACCTACATTCCCCTTCTCTCGCAACTTGACAAAGAATAGGCCGATAGTGGGTTGGAATGCAAAGGTGGGGGAAATGGCATCCAAGCATCCTCAGTTCGTGAGAGACATTGCTCCCCCCTTCAAGGACACCCCCAGCAGATGTCCCAGTGTGGTTGGCTGGTTCCAATAACAAAATGAACAGAAGTGATTGGTGGATGTAATGGACTGTGGGTGGCCTGTGGGGAAAGGAGGAATGAACTATGTGTTCCTTTGCACGGGAATCCCAGAGCTGGTTTTGCTTCTTCTGTGCCAATGTGGTTTATTCAGTAAAGTTTATACTCTTGGAAAAATAACATCCCAGACTTTATTTTTCTGGATTGACCAATTGGATAGTTGATAGCTACAGTAGATATAATTAAGAAGCATTCAAACTGTTTGGATCTTGAAATGTCCCCAACAATAAATGTCTCATCTTTGGGGAAATGGTGTTCTGATCTTGAGAGAGCCATTCTAAGACTCTCTTCCTGAAATTTCCTGAAAATGTTTAGACATCAGATGCACCTCTCACAGACTTACTAGAAATGGCCCACCCTCAAAATGGGCAATTTCAAACTCCATTCGGCAATTGAAGTGGAATGTTTCAGACCATTTCTGGCAAGGTCAGAACATCATCTTCCCAAAGATAGGATGTTGCAAAATCTCTACTTGTAGGAGAAGGAAGGGCTGAATCTGATGGCAGAGTTAAAAGAGGGCTCTGTCAAGGCTGCTTGACTCAGTAACCAAGAAAGAAACCCCTCAACTCTATTTTGCAGAATTAAGAGTACTTTTACTGGTCATAAGTAGATAGTAGCTAAGCAAAGCAAGGTCTGAGGCAAAAGGACACGTAATCATAGATATCAATATGTGACCCAACCCCCTCCCTCTGGTAACCTTAGTCCATAGTCCAATCAGTACACCCCACAGGTGTCATGTGAGAGACATCTTCAAAAAACATCATCAGGCTGGTATGCCGGACAGTTGGTCTGGGCGGCAAATCCTTTATCTGCAGCATGCACAGTAGATGGTGAGAACACCTCTCTTTATTCAGTCTCTCCAGTGCTGACACTTCCCCACCCACAAACAATGCCCCCCTCCCCGTTTCAATGGCAGCCGAAAGCAAGTAGCAAAACAGAGGCTGACAGGCTCAGTCTAGAATCCCTATGTAGCCAAAAGAGTCCAACTTCCCTTGAATTTCATTGACTCTTATCTAGCTCCAAGTGCTAACGCATGAATGAAGGCAAATATATGTGTCCCAGGATAATGTTGCAGAATCCAATCAGGCTTGATCACTGGAACCAGAGGTTTAGTCTTCTGAGCTTTTGGACTCATAATGGAGCCCATCCTCAAGGAACTTGTCTTTACCAGATTGCCTTCATGGGCTCCAGCATGAATCCAAAAGTTTGGAAGACTAGTCCTCTAGTCCCAGTGACCGACCCAGATTAGATCCTACAAGTGTTAACCATTAGTTGAGAATATTGCTATGCATAGGCATGAGTAGCAATAAATCAGTTTAATTGGACCTTCAAATGTGGACCTGGCCTTTTGTACTTGATATGAGTTCAGATCTGTTGAGATCCATCTCTTATCACTATTTCTTCACTTAAGGTGCAATAAATCACTCATTGTAGTTCTCCAGTTCAATCACTGTCATCTTCAAATACAACCTCAGAGATTCTGCCTGAGATTCTGGATTGATTCTGGATTGCTGCCAGTCAAGTCAAGAACACTGAATTATACTAATTAATGGATAAAATCTAGTGGCTCTGTTTGTCCAATACATCATAACCATAAACTAACCCAGTGTTTAAGACAGATGGACTTCAATTGCCAGAATTCTACAGTCAGCATGGCTAACTGGAGAATTCTGGGAATTGAAGTCCACCCATCTTAAAGTGGCCAAGGTTGAGAAACACTGAACTAACCAATCCCATTTTAGCCCTACGTGTTGCACAAATCCAACCACATGGCTAGTTTCTGGATCAATATACCCCAACACCCAGAAATAGGGAATAATTAAGCAAGTCATAATTTTCTTAACAAGGTTAAGGGCATGATAAGCTAGCTTTCTATGATCTGAATTTATATTACTTATTTTGGGCATCGTGCCTTATTTCAAGAGAGAGTTTTAAAGGCATATGCCACATAGCTAAGCAAAAATATAAATTTAAAGCAGCCAAGCAATAGTGAGACAGGTTTTTTTTAATAGCAAAAAGGGACAAGAGAAGGGACTTCTGGATGGACCTGCATAGTAGATGTCTGAACTATCTTCATCATCCTAATTGATTCTGATTGGTGGCATGGTGAACAAACACTAGTCAGTCTTCAAGTTAATCATTAGAACCTAACCTCTCTGATTTGTAAACCATTATTTTAGCTTAGTGCTTAGTCCTGGTAGTTGAAGCCCACAAGTCTTAAAGTTGTCAAGCTTGAAGAGCCCTGGCTTAGTGTAACAATTGTTATATCCTTTTCCAGGATGCCAATCTGCCGTGAACTACAGCTTGCATGTGTATGGTTCTTGTACACAGTTCACAACTGCATCCTGCAAAATCTTGCCTAGATAGACAAGCATTCTATGTTCCTGGAACAAAAAGCAGATCATTAGCTCCTCCTCAACACGAAGGGCTATCAGCCAGTTTCCTGTCCCAGCTGATTTGGGCTGGAACAACAAACATATCTGGAATCCTGCTATGTCCCTCTGTAGTTTGGCATGCTTCACTTCTCACTTCCAAGGTCTTCCTCCATCCTAACTTATCCTTCATGCGCTATTACAAACTTTGTCTCCTGTACGTACAATCATTGCTGCCCCAAAACTATGGATGTCCCCATTACTGGCCACTGTTCTTCCAACTTGCGTCCTATATAATCCCCTGCTTTCACCCTGGAAAAGGCAACATGGGACAGTGCTTCATGTTAAGCCAAGCTATTCGTTCTCCTATGTTGGCTGCAGCTTGAAGGGGACTTGGATTAGAAGTCAGGGCCTTGAAGCTGCAGGAGAACAATCAGGCAAGGAGAAAGTGATATTAAGAAGGCAGCATGAAGCACTTCTTTTAAAACATTGTGCAGTCACAAAAGTTTGTTTTTTAGTCTCACAAATCTTTTCTCTTCCAGGCTAAACAATAGTGCAAACTTCCGGTTTGGGCGGGGGCCTGAGGGGGTTGTTGTTTTTAACAGCTCCGGATCATTGGCTGCGTTAAGCTGTCTAAACAGTATCCATCAACTGTTTGACAGTTTGATTACCTCTTCTTCGGGCAAAGGAGAAGAAGGCGAGCAAGCTATGTGTGGGCAGTGCTCCATTTAACCCCCCAGAACATAAATCTGGGGTGGGACGAGGGAGCCGCCCTGTAACATAGTAGATTCTCCGCGTCAAGGACCTCTTCTGCCTTTTTTGCAGAACGAAGGCACACGTCCACCCTCAGCTCAAAGACTGATTTATTATTGATTTCAAAACGGGCAGAACTGATACTGGTGAATGTATAAGTCTTTAACTCCATTTTTTAAAGAATTCCTTTTGACAATTTACTTGCTAGAAATACACAGAAAATGGTGCCGAACAGCTTTGTAGGAGGGGTCAGGCTCGGAAGAAATAGATTTCTATGGAGCTCAGAACATTTAAAGATCAGTAAAATAGAAGTGATTTATTACCAAACTAAATAGTAATTGCTGGACAAGCGGCTTGCCTGGATTTAGTAATTGGGTGGAGAAGATTAAATCTGGAATGGCTTCTAAGCAGCAGAAACNACCCACTTGACCCTTGAGGTCCAGCTTCACTAGCAGGGACTCACACCCGACAAGCTCCGGAGCAGGGATCCTACGAGGTGTGTGTGTGTGTGTGTGTGTGTGTGTGTGTGTGTTTTGGACTGAGTACTTTATGAAGGGAAATTGTTCTCTTCATAAGAAAGTACTGTTTCACCTGAACATTACATCTAAAACAGTTTCTCATTCTTGGCAATTTTTATTACTTTGGCAGATACCAAATGTTATGAATAAGATGCCTCTACTTTTATCCGTCAAACACTACCAGCTCCCATTGCCTATTTAGTTCTACTAGACTAGAGCATCAAATACCACCCCACAACAACTCCAAGACTTTGAGATTGGCTGAAGATAATTCTATATCAAAAACAGCTTCTAAGAAGCCCAGGTGACTTCTGGGGGAAAAAAATTGCTTCATGAGAAGAGTATGAAGCAACTTAATACACATAAGTGGACTCTTTGAAGTACAGTGGTATCCCACTTATTTCTTTACTCCAGAGAAAGAGTGACTGTAAGTTAAATCTACATGACAGAAAACTCAGCTATGGTAGGACAAACTTTATGGGGTCTTCCTAAAGCTATTTCGCTGCTGGAGGCAAAGAAAGTGCTAGTGTTTTTGTTATGTATCTATATCTGCATTACTTTGAAACTTCCCAGGCTGTCTGTGCATCTAATCTGAGAAAGCCTCATGAGATCTTCTCTTGGGATTGGAGGAAAGAGGGGGAAGCCAGGGAAACTGTAGGCCACTAAGAGAAGAGAGTGCAACAAAAGGCAGGACACTCACCTGCAGTCCTTAGAATCATAGGGTTAGAAGGAACCTTAGAGGTCTTCTAAGTCTTCCCAAGGCAGGAGTCCTTATACTACCCCAGACAAATGGTTGTCCAATCTTTTCTTAAAATCCTCCACTGATTGAGCAAGGAAGCAAACTGTTTCATTGATTAATGGTTCTCACTATCAGGAATTTCCCACCTTAGTTCCAGATTCTTTCTCCCTCTGATGAGCTTTCACTCATTGCTTCTTGTCCTGCTCTCAGATGCTTTGAAGGACAAATCAACTCCCACTTCTTTATGACGTGCCACTCAAGTACTGGAAGACTGCTAATCCTTCCCTTCAATAGGCTACACATACCTAGTTCCCTTAACTGTTCATTGTATAAGACATGATAAGAAGTCTAGCTTCTTCTTATCATCTCTGTCACTCTTCTCTGCATGCTTCCTAAAAAATTCTCAGCATCTTTTGTATATTGTGTTGATCAGAACTGGATGCAATATTCCAAGTGTGGCCTCACTGTATCACTTCCTGTGGTATCACTTCCTTTGATCTTGATGCTACCCCTCTGTTCATACAGTCTGGGACCACTTTGGCTTTTTTGGCAGTTGCAGCACACGGCTGGCTCATACGTAAGTGGTATTCCACCAAGACATCTACAGTCGATCCATTTCATAGGCATAACTTAATTGCTTTATAACAAAGAACTGAAATAATATTATTTTCCACTCTCAAGAACGTCAGCCCAATTCTACCCTTCTTTAAAAGAAAATTTGAAAGCAAGTTCTATTAAGTGAGCAGCAACAGGAAAAAAGAGAGGAAAATGTTCCATGCGGCATAATATTAAAACTCCCTCTTCTTAGGGCTGGTGCCCTGCATTATCTTGCCATAAAACAGTTCTGCTTCTCCTCCTGTCTTTCAGCAAGCCCAGCTCAGGGAACAGTCATATGCTACCTGCTGCTTTTCAAGAGCACCCAGAAAATTAACCAAAGCCATCTTGAAATCCTAATTTGGAGAAATTTAGGGTTTTGCTTCAAACAGGATTCTGGTTGAAAATAATGGATCCTTTCTGAGATGGATCCTTTCTGGAATAAATTTCAGCAAATCTTCTTCCAGGGTAAAAGTCCAGAATAAAAAACAAATTGGAATTGCACTTATCTCAGAAACACTTCAATCGATGCCCAAAATATATAATCTTCCTTTTGCCATCATGCTTAAAATGCCTGATTCTCATATAGAAGGCATGGACACTTTAAAGAGAATAGGTTTCTTTTCCAAAATTGTCTGAACCAGAGTTTAAATTTGCTAGTTTGAAAATCTATGGCTAAAAGTGGCCCATTACTGAGCAAATTAATCCTCATTTGTCTATTTATCAATAATTACCCTTGAAAGCCAACCCGTTTGATGAAGGTTGTGAGAAGATTCAGAAATAAACTAAAACCATGTAATGCTCACCAGCAGCAGCTCCGGTTTGATCTCTGGTGAGGTGACACGACATGGGACATTGATCACATCCGTATTGTTGTGCACATGGATGAGGTCTGGATGTTTTGGGTGGGGTTGCACAAAAGGCTCTGACTGATCTGCAGAGACACAAAAATGGAACATCACAAGTATGCAGAGAAGCAAGCCTATTGGGTTGCTTGATATAAATTACCTGCCATTCATCCTTAATTTTTACACCAAAAGTAGAGTAGATTAACAGATTATGATTGTGACTTAAATCAACTGTTGAAGCTTAGTTAATCCTTTTGGGGAGAAAACATTGGCAAAGCCAGACTCTCTTTCTCAACTCAAATAGGACACCTTTCTCAGCTGAAATAGCATCTGAAACTGTGGAGATATCTTATGCTAGGAAATTGATCAATGCAACCAACTGAACTTACAACTCAGGTCTTCAAGGAATGTTACTTTCCTTGCTTATTTCCAATTTCTCTTGGAGAAGAGAAGGACACAATGACCCTGTCTTTGCAGGCATCTGGAACTTTTTCTCAATGCCCAAGAAAAAAATAGCAGTTATGGAATCAGAAAATCAGCACAAGACGACGACTTGTTTTTCACATAGGAGTTATTGCAAAGACACAATCATGCTTTCAGCATCTACATTGCTGGACAGTTCCCTGATACAACTCTACAGTTTTGTCTGTTAGGGCAGAAACTACATTGAGGGGTTCTTGATGTTCTCTGAGCTTTGGTTGTTTTCTTGCAGACATTTTATTACCCAAACTAGGTAACATCATCAGATGATATTCCCTAGTTTGTCTGAAAGGAAGCAACCAAGCTCAGAAAGCAATAAGGACCCCACATTTCCACCTTGAGCTACAAATGGAATAGAATACTTTATTTGGCCAAGGGTGATTAGACACACAAGGAATTTATGTCTGATGCAGAAGCTCTCAATGTACATTTAAAGTAACAGAGTATAATAATGATACTAATAAGAGGGGATAGTAGAGAAGATGAGAAGGATAATAGCAATACAGTCCTACTAAATGAGTAAATATCCTTAGGCATAAGTTCTGTGGGAATTAAATGTTCAGCAAAGTGATGGGGGGGGGGAGATACTGTCCCTTGTCTAATTGTTTTGGCATGCAACACCTACAGTGATGTCTCAAGGGGAGGAGTTGAAACAGTTTATGTCCAGGATGTGAAGGGTCTGTAGATATTTTCACAGCCCTCTTTTTGATTCGTGCAGTATCCAGGTCCTCCATGGAAGACAGGCTGGTTGCAACTGTTTTTTTCTGCAGTCCTAATTATCCATTGAAGTCTGTACCCATCCTGATTGGTTGCTGATTCAAACCAGACAGTTATAGAGGTACAAATGACAGACATTTCTCCTATGTAGAACTGTATCAACAGCTCCTTGGGCAATCTGAGCTTCATGAGTTGGCAAAACATTATTTGTTGTGCCTTTTTAATGATGGCTCTAATGTTAAGCACACATTTCAACTCTTGGGAGATTATAGAACCCAGAAACCTGAAGGATTCTATTGTTGATACTGTGCTATATATAGTATAATACAGTAAGAGGTGGTAGAACAAGATGGCTCTTCCTAAATATTCTCCTTAATTAGAAACTACATTCCATCCCANATTTGTAAAAGGTTTTTTAAAAACAAATTCAATAAAAAAAAACAATAGTGCTATATTTCAAGGGAATGTGGTGTAGAATAAGGGAAGAACTCCTATTTCTTCCTCCTGTAGAGGGTGGGGACAAGGTGGTGGTCACTTGCCTTTTACCCAAGTTGAAATAGAAACCTATTTGTCTTCTAGATATTTCTATCTATAGGTGAGGAAAGGAAACTTTAGAAGAAACAGCATGTCTGTCTTGGTTATTGGAACGTCTCTCTCTCTCTCTCTCCCCTCTACCAACTACCCCCCTCCCTCTCGTCAACCAGCTATCTAGCTATGTAGTATTTAGCTCTCTATCACTAATATTTGTCTGTCTTTCTCCCCTAAAAATTCTTCTTTTGCAATAAAAATATTTCTACTGCTTTTAGACGGTAATTTCATTTATGTACTGAATTGTAAAATGCAAAGAAGGGAAAGTTTAATTGGCCTCATCTCCATTTTAGGATGGAGATTATTCCTAATTTGCAATCAAAAAGAACATTCAGTGGATCATACTAAAAAAGATTAGTTAGGTATCCCAAAGTTGGCTGTAGTTGGCAGCATTAAACCAGAACACATTTTTGAAAATGAAAAAAAAAAATCCATGATCTCATGATTGAAGCTCCATCCCTTTCTGTATGCAGCCCATGTAAAAATTGGGGAGGGGCTTTGGTATTGTGAGACTCCTTGATTTTTTTGACTGTCTCCACATGGATAACGCTGCGCCAATACATCCCTTTTCTACATTAATAGCATTATTGGCAAAATGTCATGGCAGTTTAGGGTAAACATAGGTGATTCTCAGCAGTTTTAATTTCCTTTCTGAGGTTTTCTCAAGCCCCATCGGGAGGGATAGCCCACATGGTTTTATTCTACATTACTTTTACCTAGATATTATGTATATATTGTGTGTATATTCAAATGCCCGAATTTCAAGTTCAGCTCTAGAACTAATCAGAATCAGCAGACACAAAGAATGAGCTTCTTTCTAGCATCAGCAACCCATCCAATTTCCCACAAATATCTAAGGAGGATAGAGTGCAGTCATTTTAAAGTATAATGGAAACATCAAAATTGTAATTTACAAGGGGCAAACTCTGTTGTTTCAGAAATTGTGAAAGAGAATGGTGCTGAATATTACAACTCTGCATTTGAGTATCCCCTGATGAGTAGATTTAAAATATATATGTGAAGAAATATTGCACATAGATATGATAGATATAGATCTAGGCCCCCATATTCCATATATTAAATGAAGTTGCTTGTACAATATTCAAAAGTTGTTATGAAAGGAGAAGAGGAGCCACAGCTGATTTTACCCCAACCTTCAAAAGACCCTGGTGCTATTTTTCCTCTCTCTCTTCCTGCCGTTTTATCTCTGAGCAGTTATTAAATTTGGAGGAGGATGTTCTAAATTTGTCCAATCGTTGGGCTCCTTCCTTCCTGCCCTCCCCCACTTCAGTTTCCTGTGAGTAAAGGAAGCCGCCAACCCGGCTCCACGCATAGTATTTCCAGACAAGGCCAAAATAACAAGCCAGCTTTCCTTAAATGGGAACAGAAAGATGGGCACCCAAGGTAAACACACCTCTACAGAAAGCCTCATCCGCTCTTCTGGAGACGTCTCTCACTGAGGAGACACCTTCCTTTTGGGGTCTGAATGTCAGCCACCCCTTCTGTCTCTTTCAAAGGAGGAGGAACGAAGTCTTTTGGCCAGATGCCCCAGCAGCCTAAAATGGAAATATCTAGGACGAAGCCCCAGGTCAAGACTGAGTAACACATGGAAAAGGTTTGACTCAGCTCCAGAGATGGGAAAGATCAGAAACCATGCATCTGAACTGCTTGCCCCTTCCTCAAGGAGATGTTATCAGCCATTTTCAGAGAGGCTGCTATTAATTCTTCATATATTTCAACAAAAGTCAACAGAGATGTTAAGCCAACACTTACAGGAAGCCGAAGCTCTTGCTACACCAGCCAAGGAGGAGAGAGAAGAAAAAAAGTCAAGAATGGGTTTAATTTCAAAATTATGAAAGTGTGTGTGTGTGTGTTTGTTTTGTTTTGTTTGTAGTTTATTTATAGGCCGCCCTTTTCCCTGAGGGGACTCAGGGCGGCTTACAATCAAAAAAGGAAGGGGAGTGTAGGACAATACAAAAAAAGAAATGTGCACAAAGTAAATTAAACTATAAAACTCAACATTCACTCAGCATTCGGGAGGGGCAAAATAAGATTATCCCCAGGCCTGACGGGTTAGCCAGGATAGTAAGTATGCTAAACTAAAATATTTTAGTCCTCTACACCAAGATGTTTGAAAACATCTTGGCCCACCCGAGCTCCATTTTCGCTGGCATAGGGATGCAGGAGGCCATCTGAGCTGAAAACGGAGATTGGGAGCCTGTTTTTGCTTTGCAGAGGCACTGTGGGTCGCAGTGGTGAGTTGCTCTTACCGTCACGACCTGTACGCTGCTCGTGGTCTGTTCCTATATGCGCCTGACGTGCGCTGCACATGCACGCACATTCCACCATCCCTAAGACACCCAGCTGCTTGTCGGAGATCGCGCAGGGGCTGCATGCTGTCACGCGTGCGCAATTGGCCCAGTTCAAAAA